CTTTGGTACTAATATGAAAGTACACTTTCTTTATAGTCACTTGGATAAATTTCCCGACAATTTTGACGACTTAAGTGAGGAACAAGGGAAAAGATTCCACCAGGATATAAAGGCGATGGAGGAAAGATGTCAGGGCAGATAGAATAAGCATATTATGATGGCAGACTATTTCTGGAGCCTTCAACGTGATGTTCCTGACAGTCCCCATGAAAGAAAATTGTATAAAAAGAGCTTCTTCCCTACGAATTAGATATACTTTTCCAAATTAAATTTTATTTCTTTGTTATAATAGCTAATAAATTATTATTGATTTTATTGTTTTTTTGTTTCGCTTTTTCGACAACACTGTCATTTTTACTACCGCATAAGCAAGTTTATGGGGACAACTGGTCTATTAAAGTGATTTATTTCTTTATTATATCATAATTTTCTAATATATCTCCAAAAATAGAGCTAATCCAACTAAATGGACATCATATTTGTAATGAGCACCAAAAAAAAACCCTAGAAATCGCTCAGATATTGTTGGCAATAAAATTAGTGTTGGGCAGTGTTATTTATCAAATTATTTTGTTTATTTGATTTTATTAGTATTACTAACAGAATATTTCTCAATTATACATCAAACAAAAATAATTTTAAATTTACTGATAAGAAAAATACGTTTCGCCCTTTAATTTATGTATTTACGCAGTAACCCACAGAGATTCAAAGCATTAGTCCCTATAATTCCCAAATTAAATTCTCTTTCGGAAACGTGAAACGGAAATTGACATTTCCCATTCATCGAGTACCTACTACTACCATTCATCTAAAAAATTATCTTTTTTGTTTTTAATCGCAGCATGTTGTTCGTTCAGTTTTTACGTCAGGAATAACGAGAATTTTCAAAACCAGAACACACCTATGTTAAATAAATACAAAATCCATCAGACTAAAATGGGATACTTTTTATTACGAATGTTGCGGAAAGGGACCAAATCCGACGACATTTCTAGAACAAAGGACTTTGCCACAAGTGCTTTCTGAGTAAATTTTATTGGTCTCTTCCGCTAATAGTGTTTGCCAGTTTTATTTCGCACTGTCTTAGGTTATAGTTTAACATCACAGTTTAAGATATTTAATTTGAAGGTTTTTTGTTTTGAAAATTAATTGGCATAGTATATGCTGGGTGGCTCAAATGTGTGGAACATTAACTGTAACTTTTGATATAAATATTTATTTTTAAATTTTATGGTGAAATTGCTAATTAACTTAGGAAAGGAAAAATAGAAACTTTCCAGGGGCCAACTTTTCTTTAAATTATAACCTTTCCTGTTTATATTAGAATTTTAAAGAGGCTGTTTTTTTAATAACAACTGTGTTAGCATCAGTATGTTAAAAAATGACCTAGAACGAAAAAAAAAACTTTGTTAAGAATGGCGCATATAAATAAAAATTAAAAGGATTTCCTGAATAATTTTTTTTTGTGTAAAAACACTTCAAAAGTGGCGTTTATCAATAGTTGATTAATGAGTAATTTTGTCATAACCTAACTTAACTAGGCTTGCAATCTTAAAAACTAAAGATTTACTCGCTAGTATACCTTAGGGTCTGATAAATTAATTACACTAAACTAACGTGTAACACTAAACCGCACAATGCTTTGTTTTGTTATTAACACAATCACTTGGCTAACTCAAATGGTTTCACTTTCTTAAGTCTTCTTGCTAGGTTCGTGTTGTCAATAAGCTGAATTGTCTCAACTTTCACGTGTTGGTTGATCCGTTATTCGTGACTCTTAGCGAATCTGGTGATAATCTGGTCAACAGTGTCCATCTGAAGGTCTCGATGAAGGTCGCTGTTTCTAATGTACAAAGGAGCATCGACAATGTTCCTCAATCTCTGGATTATTAGAATATTACTGTAGCTGGCACAACCCCAGTGCTGAATTCCATAGGTCTAAATTGGTTTGAGAACTTGTTTATACAATAGAATTTTGGTATATGTAGATAGGCTGTAATGCCTACCAGTAATCAGTACCTTTTCTTGAATTTTATATCTAACTCTTGTCTTTTCTTTTTAAAAGTCTTGCATCTAATGTAATACCTAGATAATTTTGCCGAGTTAGCATAAGGACCTGAGCATTATTTATGTTAACTGGTATTCTTTAATATTTATGATTTATCCTAAAAGACGATTAAAAACGTCGGGGTAAAAATGTCACAAAAACGAGGTGTATGGGCAAGAACGTCGTTTATGCACGTCGTTCCAAAATTTCAGGCGAGGCTTGATTTTTGTAGGTTATCGTGCCAACCGTTCGAGTAAACACGAGGTGTGTGTTCTCAACAATTTGACTGGTTGGGCATTTATCAGTGGCAGTGACGTTCAGCATGTTTTTGTTGTTTATTATTATTTACAACTGGTTATTATAAAAATATCGGATATTATGCAGTGGAACAGTGACTTTTTATTAGAGTTTATCGAGCTTTATAGATCATTTCCTTGCGTGTGAAAAGTTAAATCGGCGGAATACCATGGCCGAATCAAGAAAAACAAGGCGTATGAAGCATTACTGGTGCAATACAAAGAAGTGGATGCTGATGGAACAGTTAAATTAGAGTAGCTGTTAGGCGTTCGTGAGGACTGATGCATTTACGTAAATGGGTATTATGTCTTTCAATTAACGGTGTTACTAGTTTTAACACTTTCCGATACGTATCCTCGTCCATACTCAAGTAATTGTGCCAATCGCCAGGCTCCAATCTTAGCTCCTCCAGTAAATTTGTATGTGACAGTGTACTGCGTTTAAGTAGCCAGTCTTTAGTCCATTTTCTTCGAGATTTTCTTTTTTCGCGATTTTTTTGGAATGCTAAAACCGCTGTCACTGCTAACAAGCACGTACGGTCCATCGTGATAAACTGGCGCGAAAAAAACTGTTGTGTGTGGACATATCAGTCAACGTTCTTCTTTACAACGTTTTTAACTGTCAGGTAAAAACAGCAGAGAAGAACGAGGTGAGTGGGGCCCTTAAGTAACGTCAATGCCTAACAAAACGGTCTTTCGTTCAAAATCAAATCGTGTCTTATTTTGCTAGGAGTTTGCATAAAGGGTCTCAGTTTCAATAAGTAGAGAATCAATAATTTAGGTTTTCACGAATTTTGATAATATTTGCAATATTTGTATCAAGTCAATTTATCATCATTTTTATTCATAAACATTCAAAAAAAATAATTAACTAATATATACACATATTCCATAGCCAGAGACAAGATCTTTAGACGTTCCTTCAAACTTCAAATCTCATTTTATTTTAGTTATTAAAATTTTAAAACAAAGCTAGAAATAAAAATAGGTAGCTCATAATCTTTGTATTTTATCATAATTCTCTATTGATAAGTAATTTTTGAAGTGTCAGAATACCTTTAAATTAAAAAAAATCATTTGTATTTAGACTTATTTGATTTAGTTGGTTGCTTCTTGAAGATATCCTACTAAATTAAGGTTAATATATTTTTTTATTATTATTATTATTATTATTATTAATATTATTATTATTATTATTATTATTATTATTATTATTATTATTATTATTATTATTATTATTATTATTATTATTATTATTATTATTATTATTATTATTATTATTATTATTATTATTATTATTATTATTATTATTATTATTATTATTATTATTATTATTATTATTATTATTGTTTTGTTGCACTACCTCAGTCTCGAGCAGCTGGGTAGGTGTTTTATCCGAAGCTTTACCAAAGCTCTTATTATTATTATTATTAATATTATTATTATTATTATTATTATTATTATTATTATTATTATTATTATTATTATTATTATTATTATTATTATTATTATTATTATTATTATTATTATTATTATTATTATTATTATTATTATTATTATTATTATTATTATTATTATTATTATTATTATTATTATTATTATTATTATTATTATTATTATTATTATTATTTTTATTATTATTATTATTATTAAACTATTAAATGTACTATTTACAAAATTATGATTAAAAATAATATTTCTGAAACTAATTTAGAACTTGGGTACTATTTAAATTGTCATTATAAAAAAAACATCAGATTAATTAATATTACTACACACTACCGTTTTTACTTTTCAAACCGTTCTGGAAAATCTCAATGCATTGACCTTTTAGAAAGTAGGAAATGGCTAAATATATTCTGTGTAACTGGAGATAGCAATATGTCGAAAAAAGAAAACAACGGTTTAGACTGTTTAGAGCAATCCTTGTGCAGAATTTAAACCATTGACTAGACTCCGCAAAGCTAGTAATAAGTTTAAAAAAACAGAATAATCAGAGAAAATCACTGAAAACATGTTCTAATTGAAGGGATCAGAATACAAAATGTATACGTAACAATTAAACTATTTATTATTTAATTAAGTTTAAACTAGCTATAGTAAAATCTGCAAATAAGCTAATTGTTTGTAGTTTTTTGTAAGGGAGATTGTTCAGGGAATGCTACTTATAAGGATCGTAAGGAAGATGGAAATTGAAAAGTCGGTTGTTATTTGCTTTATTGACACAATGACAAACATTTTACTACATATTTTTATAATCAAAATCAAAGGTACTATCGTCCATATCGCATTCTGATTCTGATTCCTGCTCAACCCTAGATGTTAAAGCTTGCATTATTGGGGTCCTCAGCAGTTGATGCCGATTACACCAAATAAAAAAAAATATCCTTACGTTTATTATTACTGCCCTTAATTATTTTTTTATAATATACCTGTACTTCTTTAGTTTATTTTTCATATAAATTTATACTGCTATTGATTTGACGGTCTTTTGTTCCAATTAAAATCATTTCTCGTTTTTAACAGTACGAGTTTACCCTTGTCGACCTTAGTCTCGATAAGGTTAGAACCACCAATTTAGCGTCTTTTGAAATATTAAAAAATTAATCATTATTATACTATAGTTCTTTCAATTTTTTTTTTGTTTTTTTTAGATGAGGTGCAGCGTCTCCATTTTTATTGCTATTTTGGCAACTGTTTCTGCTTTAGGTGTTCATGAAGAATGGAAACATTTCAAAGTGAGTGATTTTAAATTAATGGGAATAATAAGTTTCAGATCCTAGCTGAGACTTTTTTAAAGTTTATTTAATAAGTTAATAAAATACGTAAAGTCAAATTATTTTTAAAATAATCTATCTTTAACTCCTAAATTCATTTTTAAAATTATGTAGATTTTTATTAATGAGTCGTAGAAACTTGAGGTGTCTCAGAAATATTTTCGTTTATTAATCCGTTCGCTGGCGCAATAGGTACAGATAGAAATACATAAGTATAAGTCTCACCTGCAATACTTTCTCGGTCATCCTCAATTGTAACATCTTCGAGAAAAGAAGGAAGCTATTCACCTTTGAACCATTTAAAAATAAACTTGTCGTCCTTCTGTTCTCAGCCGAAATCAATGGGTATAATTCGGTTGAAATCGGCAGATGAGCATATGCCCAAATATTTGCAATGCACGTTGTCCGCATCAAATGTTGCTACAGCTCAATTTTGCAGGGTGGCAAGACTGATCCATCAATATTGTTCTTCGGTAAACGGAATATGTCGTCGTTTCTTAGAATGTTGTATGTCTTTAAAAATGTTGCAACACGCGCTTCGTTTACTTTGTTAATTTTTTTGAATCCATACATTCGACAAATATATTCTTCTATAATATGAAAAGTATTGTTACGCAGGACCCTGCAGTAGCCTGCGGCTATCATAGGAAACGTACAGATAGAAAAGTAAAAGAAGATAGAATATTCCAGACATGTCCAGAAATGTTAATACCCGTCAAGAATATTCTAGATGATAGTTCGAGAAGGTTCGAGAAGGTCAGGCAAGCTATATAAGTCGACGACCTGACGTCAGAAGTCAGTTTTATGATAGACGTTACATGTTAATGTTATTAGTTGTATCGTTATTGTTAGAGTTGAATTGAGTTATTGTAAAGTTGAATTGAAATAAATTGTGATACCAAAAACCAGTGTAACAGTATTCTGAAAGTCTTCATCGGTTTAATAAAACTGTCAATGTATGTTTCTGAATTATGTAGGAGTTTATATGGCCGGCTTTTTCCTTTCTTGAAAAACGATGGGTTGTAGTCACAACCAGTGAGGACATAGAAAGCCGGCAGTGCTGCGCTCAATTTAGGACCTAACGTTTCATATAGCTGATTAATATTATTAAAACGTTGATGATTACCTACTCTGACTTCCATTAAAACTTTAACATCAGCGTTACTTAAGGCATTCATGTTAGCAAGCAGTATTACTGCAACGTCGGTGTCAAAACATCTTATTACGACTTGCGCATCATAATCTATTTTTCATACGTGAAAAATCATTTTTCTATCCGCTTCTTCATGCGCTGGACAGATTAAATAGTGTTCATCCATCTTCTCTACGTGGCCATTATGTACAACATATTTGTAAATAGTTTTATTGCCAATGTAATGTGACACGTGATCGAGTGTCCAGTTTTGTACAAGAAAACTCACTAATGCCTCTTTAAAATTAGCGTTTCTTAAATCTTTGTTAAAGTCCGACAGACGTACTTGATCTGGCCCCTTGATGTGGAATCGCGTATTTTCAATTCCTCTTAAGGAATGTTCATTGCCTTTGATCGAAGGTAAAACGTAACGATCAAAGGCAATTATTACAACTTCTGCTTCATTTGAAAAAAAAATATTTAAAATTTTAATAGATATATTTCCGTGAGTACCTGGAACTTCCTTCATCAAATGAAGCATAAAAAATCCATCGAAAATCTTAATGTTCGTATTCTTTGGAGTATGCGGCTGAATCTGATGGTCAAGTACTTCTATCTATCTATCTATGTGACACATCGAACCCCTTATCAGGGACAATCACACCATTACAATTTTAAAGTGGGGAAAGTATATTTTAAAGGACAAACAATTTATTTTCTTACGATACCCTATTTATTGGATTTTACTTAAACAGGTAATCCAAAAATGGTTTCAGAAAGCTCATCTCTGCAGTTTTTGTATTATACATATTGAAAAATTCACTTCAATTTTGATTATTAAGGATCAAACCAAAAATAAGTAGGTACTAAATTACTTATATTAATAAAAACTTACGGCTGAAATTCCAATGAAAACTAGATCTACTATTATATCGTTTGCGTTTTTTGTTAAAATAAAAACAAGTAGTAAAGAAATAAAATAAGAAAACAATTTAGGCAAACGTTTATTGTGATTTACTTACAATTTAGTTGCTTTATAATTATTTTAATTTTATTGTAAATAAATGGTTTTCCGTAAATCGATCGAAAATTTTGACATTCCAAACAAAAATTTAAAAGAAAAAGTCAAGATTTCCTAACTGTTAGGAAATAGGAAATATTAATTTCTTTACGGTAAGGAAATGACATGTCTCCATAAATGATTGAAAACACGTTATTTTTAAGAATTATATTTTGAAAAATGCATTGCAAAATATATTTTAAATTTAGTTTGTTAAACATGTTGTACTTTGAAAATTTTATTTGCCACCTCAACCTTATTGTTAAGAGAATCTTCAATATATCCTTCAGTAACATTTGATGATTTCATGCGCTATGCCTCTTTAAACTAGTTGTCGGCAACAGAGTCAACCAATATTGTTGCAGAAGACCGACGAAAGCAGTGACCAGTATATTCTGTCGGATCTACCGAGTTCAAATAAGTAGCTACTATTTTAGGAATTTTTCTAAGATGATGTATTCCTACCACTTGTCTACAACCCTTTCCGCTTTGATATTTAAAGAAAAATCGGTAACTGTTCATATTTTCTGGTCTTAACGAAACATACTTTCGATAAACATTCAAGTACATCTGATTAACTACAAATGATCTTGGTTTGTTGGTCTTCGAATTAAGTATGCTAATTAAAAGGTCTTCTACATCGTCTGGAATAACTCATCGATTCTATAGGCCTCACAAATACCAAATATTAAAATCACCTAAAAAAATAAATAAATAAATGTGTAAACTAAATAGAAATTAAAACCTTGTAAATTACCTTATTTATTAAAATTTATTTATCTAGAGCTTCCTGGATACATTTTTCGATTGGTTCTTTCGTTAAAATCTTAGAATTTTTGTCCTATATCCTTGAGCTTGCCGTTTCAATAAAGAACGAAGTTTTGTATATGTGTTTTGAATGAGCTGTAAAATGCTTCAGATTTTCTTGTGCATTCTTGTTCAATTCAGAAGATAGGTAGGTTCTCCCTTCATTTTTTCTCCTCTATAAAGAGATGAGCGACGGGGAAAACTCTATGTGTTTATCAATAGAATCGGTTATATTTCTATATATCTTCTTTGGACGACATGCATGCTTTCCTCTCATATCTGGTGGTGCTGAAATTTTCTGTTTCGGATTTTAAGCTATGCGATTTACTTGATGTTTTGTTAGGCCGTGAATAGCGCAAAGAGCCTTTCTGCACACAACGGTTTCAACACCACTGACTCAAATCTACAAAATCCAAAATATATTTTTATTACTGTGTTTAAAAATTAGAAACATTCTTTTCTTTGTCCGGTAACTGTAATCTGGCTCGCGAGATAGATATCCTTTTTTTCCTTATCTTTAAACTGATTAAAGCACTTATATACTTGGTTTCTTTCTTCTATTTTAAACCTGGAGAAACATTTTTGTCTATATTCGCAATCATTACCCACTATTCTTCTAGGTGTTATCTTTTTATATTTCATAAAAGTAAGCGTTTATCTAAGAATCGTCGTGAGCCACTTGTCCCGGGACGACTTTTTTCCGTCGGCAAGTATTCACTTCGCGACGATTCAAACTGCTCCTCGCCTTCAGAAAACATTGCTGCACTCCAAGATATCGCGAAATACACACGGACTCACCAAAGAACAGCAGTATACTATCTGTATCTGTAACGTGTGGAGGGTGGGTTACCCCACGGCACTTAGGCCTCATTGGGCTCATTGTGCATCCTCCTAAGAAGATAGGCACCTCCTAGCTCATGAGCCCTCCTACAGATTTAATGTAATTGACAACGTCGCCAAGAGGTGCTTCTCTTATATCGGCCGGTGTTAGCTGATACTCGCCAAATACAAATCCTCTAATAAATGAGAGCGTCGAGCAATCGTAAAGGATATGCTCGATGATTTTATCTTCTTGTTCGCACCCTCTGAGGAGTGCGGATTCTAACAGCCCCATGATATGGAGATGCTTTCGTACTTTGCAATGACGAGTCGGAATCCCTGTGACTAGGCGCAGATTTTTCCTAGTCATAGTCAAGTATTTGTTTGCTGTAGTGTTGTCAGAATAACTTAGGAGCTCCCTGGTAACTCTGCAGTTTCTTGTTTCATCCCATCTTTCCTTTAATTTCACAAGGGAATGTTCTTAGGTTTGTCACTGCCGATTTTGACAGGCCAATAGAAGGGCCAGGTCCAAAAAGTATTTGATTGGCTGCTTCCTTGGCTAGTAAATCAGCAAGACGGTTACCTTTCGATGTGGCGTGACCTTTAATCCATCTTTATTTGACCACGTTGTTGATAAGTATTTCGGCCAAAGCTTCGTGGCATTCTAGTACTAACCCTGAATAAATTCGTGGTCTGTTCAGGATGAGTCGTGTAGCACTCCAGAATCCAAGGGCACTATATCTAGGAGGATATCAAATAGAAGAGGGATATTTACCTAACTTGAAGCCACTTTAAATTCTACACTTCCTTAAAAAAATAGGATTGGAAGGGTCGCTATAGGCATTGAGACATTTCCTTAGTGCAGTGGCGACAGAAGGGGTAACAATAGATCTTTTAGGTCGCAGTGTATTAACACCCCATTCTCAACATAACATAACAGGATGAGTCGTGCTTGTCTGCTATTTGTAGGAGGATATCAAATAGAAGAGGGATATTTACCTAACTTGAAGCCACTTCAAATTCTACACTTCCTTAAAAAAATAGGATTGGAAGGGTCGCTATAGGCATTGAGACATTTCCTTAGTGGAGTGGCGACAGAAGGGGTAACAATAGATCTTTTAGGTCGCAGTGTATTAACACCCCATTCTCAACATAACATAACAGGATGAGTCGTGCTTGTCTGCTATTTGTATAGATGAGCATGTTCCTTCCAGTGATATTGTTTCTGGTTATTTCTTTTGCTGCTATAAGAATCCCCGTTAGCTCCGTTTGAACTACACTGGCACTATTGCTCACAGCCCATTTTACGTTAAGAATCTGCAATATATTCCACATCCTGAGCCTTGTTTTGTTTTAAAACGGTCAGGTAGAGACACGGATCATACCTGCCACTTCCGGCTCTTCTATTTGTTCTATTATAACTTTATATGGCTTATGAAAGATATACTTCAGTGAGATGGAGTCCATATTCGCTTGAAGCAGTGGGACCGTATCTAGCGCCTCCTGTCAAAAGTGACGTCCCGCTTCACCAGATCCTACATCAGGTTCTATTTCGACCGTGCGGAGGCATAATCATTGTCGTTAGAGCAACCTCCTTGATGTAAATAACAAGGGGAGTGAGACAAAGAATGACTTTCATCGTTCTAGTCGGTGTTGTTTCCACGGCTCCTGTTATGTTGAGCAGTTTACTAATCTTCCTAAAACTTGTCCAGTTTTTGCACCAAAGTCTTCAATTACTTTCGCTCGTAGAAATTGTTGTTTACAATATACTATTGCATAACCCGTAGGCGTAGTATCTAAATGACAAAAGAACTTTTAAACTACTATTTTAATTTTTCTTTTTTCTTTAAGAATAATCATGGAAAATTATATAGAAACTCAGTTGAAGAAACATACCGATTTTCGGTATTTCAAGCTAATTTACGCAGAATCGAAGAACATAATGTAAAATTCGAACAAGGCCTATCTACTTTCCGAATGGGAATGAATCAATTTGGAGATTTAACCCCCGAAGAATTTCTTCAGAGACTTCCAAAAATCGATAGACCACCGATTTATGGAACATTTAAAAATTTTGAAGATGATTTCGATGGTGATGTTCCAGATGCAGTTGACTGGAGAGAAAAAGGAGCAGTAACTGAAGTAAAAAATCAAGGCAATTGTGGATCCTGTTGGGCATTCAGTGCCGTAAGTAATTCACCTGTTCAGGTGATTTTTGATACTCTTTTTAATTTTTTGACTGTACTCATTTTTTGCCCATTATAAATTGATATTTTCCGTTTAACCTTTGCACTATATATTTCACGTCCGTAATAACTAGGTTTCTAGACTATGTACAATAGAAAAACTATCTAATACGATATACGTGAATTTTTCTAATGCTTACTTTACAAACACTTTTTGTGTATCATTCTTTGTTTTTAATTTTATTGAAATACGACTATTTTATTTTATCTCACATTAGTCAAAAAAGTATAAAATAACATGTTCAATTGTCTTACTCAATAAAAACAAAAAAAGGCAAATAAAAGGTGTAGAATATATAAAATGGTCATGTACCTACTATTTGTTTATATTTATGGTGCAGGCAGTGATGATGTGTATATCCCAACAAAAAGTTCGTTTCATCTCAGACTTTAAACTATTACACCACTTTAACAAAGGTATTCACATTGACCTCAGTTTTTTAAAGTCAATAGAACCAAAATTAATAAAGATAAAGTTTGTTTTAATGTGCAACTTCAGTCCAAAGTTAACTATCTCTTCCGTGCTAGATGTCAAGAGTTTTAGTTGTTTGTTTAGTTGTACAATTGCCTCATTATACATTAAGTCAAAAAAAAATTACGTCATTTCTCTCTATCTCTAATTAATACAAATTAAATAAGAAAAGTTCCAGGTTGTGTTACTTTTCATTTTAGTCTTCTCTAACTAATTTGTTGAGAAGATATATGTTTTAAGCAACATAATTTAGCAAATAAGGAAATTAAAATATCCTATGTTGTAGGTACTGACACCTAGTTTGTTTGAGAAAAATTAAGTTTTCGGATAATGACTCATTGGAATGTCAATTATACTTTTTTGTAATTTTAATTAAAACAATACGCTTTTTTCACAAATATGATTCAGCTAATATTTACAAAATATTTTTTTTCAGACTGGTGCAATTGAAGGAGCATATTTTATTAAAACAGGAAAACTTATTTCCCTGAGTGAACAAAACCTCGTTGATTGTGCTAAATCTTGTGATGGTTGCTACGGCTGTTGGCCGAATGAGGCTATAGAGTACGCTGAGAAAAGTGGAATAGTGACAGAAGGAGCATATCCTTATAAGGCAATAGCTTCTTCAGCTTGCTTAGTCAATGTATCGGACTCTGTGTTAAAACCTAAGGAACATATTATTTTACCCACAGGCGACGAAGATAAATTACAGAGGGCTGTTGCTAGACAACCAATATCTGTAACTATAGATGCAGAAAATGATTTTCAATTTTACAAAGAAGGTAGAATATTTTTTTTGATTAAATAAGTTTTAGTCAAAATATTACCACAGTATAGAGAACAATCGGTATTGTATGTATATCAAGCGTTACCGCTGTACTATACAAGTTACTCTTTTTCACAAGCAAACAGGGGTCTGTCAGGTAACGCCATTTTGCTAGGATCATTAGAGAATTCGGTTCATCGAGGTAGTATTATAGGGAGAAGCAATCACGTGGTCACAAACGGCATCAGTCCGACATATTGATGCGACACTTACGTTAAATAGCTGTCGCATTGTTGTTATGATTTCATTAATGTGATTTGTCTGTTCAAGTTTTCGTGCTTTTATTTGATTTTTGTGTGATAGTTAAAAAATATAGTAACATACAATTGTTAGATATCGTGATATAACACAAATTTTCTTAGGTTTAAAACCACAATACTGCCCTACTTCAGAAAAAAACCGCATATATAAAAGTTCTTGTTTTGAATAAAAAGCGTTTAAATATGTCCCACATTTCGAGTGTTTTTATTTTGCTTATAGTTTTTAGATAAGTAGAGATATATTTATGATTCCTTAACTAATAATTAAAGGGCAATTTATATTTTGGTCTAATAACAAAGGTTTTTGACAAATTATAAAAATATAATAGATTTTAAATTATTTGAGCAAGAAAACTGTGACATACGGCATTTTGACTAATGAAATTTAAATAGCACTAGTAAAAAAGCCGCAGTCAGTCACATATTATGGTAAATTGCCTTAAGTAATTTAAACAATACTAGCGAAAAAAGTCGCATGTGAAGATTTCACCTATTTGATAGGCATAACAAGTGCAGAGTTTAGACTAACAGTAACAAACATAGTTCAAAAAATCTAAAAATTCAGTAGAATTTTGAGATTTGGAATAAATTAGGAAGATTTCAATGAGTGAGTTTGTATTGGGATCGTAAAACACTCCTCAAACCTTACAAAGAAAAAAAAATAAGGACAATTAAAATATTTTTTCTTCGTTTGTTATTAAATGTCACTTTTAGTGACATTTCTCAGTCATTGAAGTAACACTTTTACTGCCCAAGCATTAAAAATCATTTTTATTGCTTAGGCTGTAAAAGTGCTACTTCTATGATCAAGAAATGTTACTGAAATGGACATTTAATGTCAATCGGAGAATAATATATTAATAAAAAATCATAAAACACGATTAGAATAAATATTAAAAATGTCTGAGTTATAACCGTTACACCTACTTAAAACAGGTTTCCATTTTAATTCTATTTTTTTAAACAGACTTTATAAACAATCGGAGAAAAAATTATGTTTTACACAGCAGAGAAACATATTTACTGACATGGCTAGTTTAATTGCCTTGGCTTCGCCTCAGCAGTAAATCTGTTACTTATCTGACTAGTTAAACAAATAATAACTATTTAAAGTAGTCGAAAAAAGTTTTATTGAAGTTCAAATAATAAATGTAAACACAGAAAAATATTGTAAAGAGTTTTATAACAAATAAAAAGTCTCTTATATTTTAATACAAACAGAAATAAAACTAAATAATAAAAAAATGTACTAAAATTTCAAACTAAAATGTTTAACCTTCATCCTCAATATGCTCTATGAGATTACGCGAATTATTGTTTACTGCCAAGTCCTTCCAAAACTTTTTTTGCAAAGGAATGATGTGCCCAAGATTTGTTAATATTTTTTTTTTCTTATCGGTAATACCTCGATATTCAGAGTTTTCTTGAGCTTCAGCCAGCATGGATAATTTGGTTTTTGGTATGAAGAAAAGAATTTTGCTGTCACCATTAAATTTTTCTTCATAATATAAATGTGTCTCTCCCCTTTTCGCCGTTATTTCTACCATGTTTTTGAGCAGATGTTTTACTGGATTTAATTTTTTAATTTAATAATCAGAGGTTAAGGTAGGCCATTTTTTGAAGTTTCTAAAACACATTGCTTTCACAATGGTATGACTATTTGAACAGTTGCCTACAATTTCGACAAAATCTTGGAAATCGTATATTTTTGGGGTTTTCTTCATTTCTAGCTCCACGAGGTGATGAAAAGAATCCGCTGACATAAACGAGTGATCAGGATCAAAATATTTTATTGTAATGGTGTCAGCTGCAATTTTCTCTGATTGATTGATTGCGTAGACTAAGTAGCTTAATAGATACCAGTTTTTATTTTGGCTGGCACAATTGTGAGCCCAGAGAACAACGTTTTTGCAGTCACGTGAGCTTTCAAGAAATGTGTCATAGGTACTAACTATGTCCTCCTTTTTTCTACCAGAATTATATAGCTTCGTGCCAAAGTACAGCAAGTGGTTTATTTTTGCTTGTTAACTTCCCAAGTGGTACAAAGGACTGATTAAAAACAATGAGTCTTGGAGTAAAAATAACCTGTTTAAACATGTCTAACCGGGCAGCATGATAACTTTCTGTAAATCAACAGAGCAGTAGACTGCAGTTTCATCAGTTAGCTGCTTCGTACAATCTTTTTTGTACTCATCTCGAGATTCTCGTACAAACTTATTATGCTCTTTCCAAGAAATACATCCATCACATGTATTGATTATGTTATCCTTGGTATGGGTCTTGTCATGGAGATCAAAAGCCTCACATTTTTCGCATTGCTCATGACCTAATTTGGTAAATGATATTTTCATATAGTTAGGTTCTATAGATCTATAAAATTCGTACGAAATTTATAAATCTGGAAATTTTCCTAAAAAGTCTTTATACATATTAGTTATAGTTATATCACTGGGTAGGTATAACTTAATAGGTGCGTGTTTTCTTCGATAATGAGATACACTAGGAGAAAAGGACTTTATATGCTGCACAATAATACACGGAAAAAAAATTGTAGAAAAAATTTCTACAATTGTAGATTTTTTCTCTACAATAAATAGTACATATAGGGACAGGGACAATTTGTAGTAAAAATTTCCAAATATTTGTGGAGAATGTATTGTAGAGTTATTATCTACAATATTTAGTAAAAATATCCAAATGCATCATAAGAATTGTTCTACAAATTGTTATAATTTTTGCTATTCATTGTATGAATTTATATTAAAAATGTATTGTGTTTTATGAAAATAAATACGAAAATTTTACACAATAAATAGTAAAAATTCATACAAATTGTAGTAATTTTTAATAAAATTTGTAGTAGTATTCCATAATTATTATAATTATAACCTAGAAAAAAATGTTCCTTAATAAAATATTCAATTTATTGTTTTAATATAAAAGATACAAATTCTTAATTACATTATGTAATAAATAACAGTAATAATAGCGCCCTCAGTCTCAGTTGGCTTTTCTGCACCTGAAAAATATGAAATAAAAATTAATACCAATTGAACGGTTCATACCCTTAAAACGGGGATATTTATCACCTTTACACTGATTTGGATATTAAATGACTAAGTCAGATAACTAACAAAAATGAGAAAGTAGGTATGTCACAATTAAGACAAAAAAATATCATTGAACTTGGCACAAAATTCGATCGTTGGGCACAACATTCGATCGTTGGCCACAACTATTTTTTTTAAATAATCTACTAAGGTTATTTAAATTAGTTATCTAAAGGTAAATTATTCAGAAACAATATTAAATGTACTTACCACCAATAGAATTTATTATTAAAATTTTCTTAAACGCATCGGTGCTTATAATATAATAATGTGTTATAGGTACTCGTATATGTACCATGCTTTGTTATGTGAACATGGCGAACGGCTACTGCTGTCTGGCCTTTTATGATCGACGTTAGAAAACGTTGGCCAATAGCAGAATTTTGTTTTGTTCACATGACTAAGAATTTCTACAATATTGTAGAATATTTTTCAACAAAATTGAATGTTTATTATAAGAAGGGATGTAAAGTATTACTATTTTTTGTAGAGAAAATTTCTATTTTTTGTGGAGATAATTATAAATATTTGTACAAATTTTTACAGAAGTTAGTAGTAGTAATTACGATAATTAAAATATAACCACAGCTTAACAATACAGCTAAAACACTCTCTTGGCGGCAACGGTTTGCGTCGATTTCGTCGCGCATCGCTTAAGCTCCGCCTTCGAAGGGAAAAGACGGTTTTGGTGTTCAGAAGCGTACTTAGGTAAGGTGTTGAGTCGTGCGTATAATTTCGTTGATTGTATAATTTCGTGGAGCCTATAATTTCGTTGATTGTATAATTTCGTGGAGCCTATAATTTCGTTGATTTTGTTTGAGTTAAAGGTACTGTTATTATTTTGGTGACTCTTTAGCTATGAGTAGAATGAGTGAAAAAAAAAAGACATCATTCTGTTTGTGCAGTCAAAAGCTGTTTTAATAAGGGTTATACCTGCAAGAAAACATTCTTTAGTTTTCCCAAGGACCCAAACCGATAAGTACCACATTATAAGAAATTTTCATTGTTAAAAATATAATTTATACAGGGTATCCCATTAGTGCGTTATTGTTCATTATTTTGTTGTAGACACCCAAGAAAGTTTTAAATAAAAGTTATATGGATTTGAAAAATACCTACATATTTTAAAAATATCTTTGGATATACAGGGTGTCACGTTTTTGCCTGCCAAATTAAAATGTATGTTTTTTAAATGGAACACCTTGTATTTTATTTTATGATAAAATTATTAACACCCTAAATTATTGTAAAGACGAATTGATACAGAAAATTTTTATCAGGTATGTGTGTGGTTACCTTTTAATAAAAGCCTTGCGGATCCACTCCTCTGCGATACCTGTCTTAAATATAACAAAGATCACGTTGAATTAGATGATTTTTCTTTTTATTGCTTTTTAAAGGCATATGATAACGCCAATCCAGATACATTTGGAAATCTGTAACTGTCAAATGATGAATTTGTAGAACTAATATTCAATATTGAAAAGATATTTCAAAATAATTTTGAAGAATTGGCTACAAAAAATAACATTTGTACCACACTTTTAGAATTAATTAACCCAATACCCTTTAGTCATCCATGCTAA